AATTACAAAATGAATTAAATGCATTAAAATTGGGTACTTCGACTGCATTACAAAGTAAAGAAATACATATAAAAAAAGAAAGAAAAAAGTTAAAGTTTATTGGATTTTTTTTTATTTTCTAGATACTACAGAAGGAGAACTAGGACCAACACAAACTAAACTTCGAGAATTAAGACATAAAGAAGAAAAGAAAAAACAAGCAGTAACAACTGAACAACAACGATTAAGTGGTTCAACTGAATTAACAAATGAATCACATCCACGAGTTTGTAAATTTTTATTATTTAATTGTTTTTAGTATTCTGAATATATAGGATTCTGAATTTCCTGTTGATACAGGAAATAATCCATATTTAAATCGATTTGCTGAAGATGCTTTTCATCGATCAACATTAACATTAGCAAAAGAAATTGAAGCACATGAAGGTCCTATAAGTTGGTAAGTGAAACAAAACAATATTTAATCAAAGCAAAAGCGATTAGAATACATAGAAAATTCCTTCAAGATTTCCTGATGATAAGCAAAAAAGATAAATACTCAAAACACAAGATATTTTAACAAGAATAGAGTTAAACTATTGAAGTATAATATTGAATAACAGCAAGTTAGATGCAGAGGAAGAAATTCGATAGTAAGTTACTCAAAGATTATGTAAAAGTCAAATAGATACTTATGACTTTTTTCGTTTTGCTATAAGGTACAGCTATCGCTCGAGGACGTGCCTAAGGATGTAGATGTTACCACATATTGATCTATCACAACAATTTCTTAAACTAATTTGACCGATAGTCTATAGAATAAAGGCGTATACAAACGAGAGAATGTTTCTAAGTGTTAGACTACTTTTGAATTGGAGCTATGTGTATCATGTAGGTTCTAATGAGTTATGAATACTCTAAAATAGAGTTCGGACTAATAAATTATTGCTGCCGAGATACTGTATTTTTTAGCAGAATATTGTTGTTACCTCAAGAACACCACAGAAACCTGCGCTACGAATTTCAACTGGCAACTTTGCATAGAGACAGGCCTTAACGAGAATGGCGTATTATGAAGGTTTCAGATTTTTTGATTGCGCCTATTCTGAAATAAGAATATCGGAATTAGCCGTTATAGTCGAACGGTGTGACAAACATGCTTTTACCATAGATGGATGTAATCAAAGCTCTGTTTTGCCGGTGCGCCTGAGGGAAATCGCGGTATTCTGCTAAAAAAAAGTACCTCGGCAATAATAAGCTATTAGTACGAACTCGTTTTTTTAGGGTATTCATAGCTTATTAGAATTTACATGATGCATATAGTCCCGACTTAAAAACAATTTGACACTTAGGAACAATCCGTCTGAAGTTGAGAATCTTATCTAGCAATAGTCGATGTTTTGAATATAATCACAAAGAGTTTCTATTGAGTTAAATTTTTTGCCATCGTTTGTAATTTAACTGGTGACTTAATTACAATACCTGATGGTTACATCCTAAATAGCGAGTCTTCTTGGAGAAAATGCTCAATTGGATATTTTTTTTGATCGAAAAAAAAGCTTGGAAGACCAAAATTCTACCTTAGACGCGAAAATCTTTTGCTTCATCTAATTGAGAAAAAGCGAAAATTTTGTTCTTCACCGTACTCCAAGGATATGTAAAAGCTATCCTTTAAAACTTTTTAACTTTTTCAAGTTTTCTATCAAGGAAATCTTGGAGCGCGATGAAGTATTTAGAGTTTATCGTCAGATAGACTTATGCAAAATGAACTTAAGCCGATATGCTCGTGACACATGTCGATAGTACGCTTGAAATAGCTAAGAAGTTCTAAGGTATAGCTTTGACACACTCTTGGAGTACGATGAAGTACGGATACGGAGTTTTCGCTTTTGCTCCCTTGCAAAATTGAAGTTGGAAAATAAATTATTCTATAAATTGTTTTTTTTAAATATCAATTAATTTGTCTACATTTTGATCAAATTCATATTTTTCTAGTGCCGCTATTCATCCTCGTAAACATGTTGCTGTAACAGTATGTATAAATAAAGTATAGTTTATTTGAATTATTCATTTTTCTTTAATTAGGTAAGTGATGATCGATCATGGAAAATGTGGGCTATTCCCGAAGGTAAAAATAAATTTTTTTTTATTTTGATATAAATAATTTCATTTTTTTTTGTATTTAGGTGATATGATTATGAAAGGTGAAGGTCATTCAGATTGGGTGTAAGTGTCTATTTAATAAATTATTTTATTATTTTCTAAATAAATATTATTTGTAAAGATCTGGTATTGATTTTCATCCAAGTGGAAATAAAATGGCAACATGTTCTGGTGATACATCAATTAAAATTTGGGATTTTTCACAAAAAAAATGTATTCATACATTTACAAATCATCTTTTACCAGGTAAATTCAACTTGAAAATATTTTTAAGCAAAAAGAATAGTTAAAATTTTTTTCCGTTCTAGTTTGGTCTGTTCATTTTCATTCATGTGGAGATTTTATTGCTTCGGCTTCTCAAGATAAAACTGTTCGTTTATGGGATTTAAATAGGTTTGTTGAATTTCAAATACTATTAACAAAAAAAAAAGATAAAAGTTGAATTTTTTTTAGTCTTCGTTGTCGAACAGTTATGCGTGGACATCAAGATTCAGTTCATTCAGCTGAATTATTAATGTTTTCTAATATAATTCTATCTAGCTCAGTTGATAAAAGTCTTATGTTATGGGATGCTCGAACGGTAGAAAAAAAAACGAAATGAAAATTAGTTTATTTATTTTAAAAATGATTTTCTTAGGGTCTAGCAGAGCATACATTTGTTGGTCATGTTAATCCATGTAATCAAGCAACATTTAATTTACGAGTACATTTTTCTTTGAAAGAATAAACTTTACTATACAAAAATATTTTCTTTTTTGTATCTTCTAGGGTGACACAATTGCATCTTGTGATTCAAAAGGAATTGTTAAATTATGGGATGTACGAACAATAAAAAGTATGGTTACACTTGATCTTGGACCTTATTCAGCGAATAGTGTTTCATTTCATCCAGCTGGTAGAAAAAAAAAGAATGTTTTTTTTTAGAAAATAATATTAATAAAATTTTCTTTTTCAAGGCCAACTGTTAACAGCAGCTTCTAGTGATCGAACAATTAAACTTTATAATATAGGCACTGAACAGGTAAAATAATATTTGGTTTACTTTTAACTTTAAAATTATTAAAATTTATTTTTTTTTTAAGTTAATACCATTAAGTAGTCATCATGATGAAGTTCAATATGTTAAATTCGACCTGAAAGGACAATATATGGTTTCAACTGGTCGTGATCGAACCCTACGTGTTTGGTCGTAACTTTGTAGAATTCTATTTTCTTTTCTTTTCTTTTTATATGAATATATACAAACATTTATTTGAATTTTTTTTCCTACACCTATTAATTGAATTAAAGGAAAATGTTTTTTTTTCTCATTTGAAAAATAAAGATTTTCGTTTCAATTTGAATTTCATGTCGAAAAATTTAAATAGAGGGCGAAGTCGAAATGCAGCAAAAACCTCTTGCAGTTAGAGTTTGATGGTTTCAAAAAAAATTGGAACCAAGAACCGAAGTAGAATCGACTTTCTTGTCAATCGAAATCGTTAAATCATCCAATAGATACAAAAATTCTTAAATCTATGTTATATGTGAGGTCTTTAATCTCAATAATGTTATGGTGACAATTTCTCAAAATATATTTATATTTTTCATATCTATCATGGCTTCGACTCCACGTGATATTTAAGAAACCGGAATCGCTTTTTTTCTCATTTTCAATAATCGGAACTACGGTTACGGTTCCAAGTGATTTTTGAAATCACTGAACTCTATTTGCAATGAATATCCTGCCATGCCGAACACTCTTCGGTCCACCAGAGCGAATTTTGCTAGTCTTGTACCCTCGATTCTGCATGTGAACATCAGTAGAAGGCGCTACTTGAACAAATTATATAATTGGAGTTGTGATGGTGATTATCAAAAAAAAAAGAATGGGCAAGCAGATATCGTTATCTTTTTGAACAACTTCGTAATCATTGCCTATCAGCTATGACATCTTGCAATGCTCTTAATTTAGAGTACAAACACGAATTTAGTCAAAGATAAAGAACTTGTTTTATCTCTTCGTGAATTAAGAGATATATTTGAAGTGTCTATCGGTGTTGTGTCAAGTATTCTTAAAAGACAAATGAATATATATTACTGTTTATGAAACTAATCTAAACAAAATGGTGAAGCACTAAGTGAATCCCGATTTTAGTCAAAACCATCAACGATAGTGTTGAAACCTGATTAAGCAGGATCTGGACGTGATGTTCGAAATTCATCTAGTTAAAAAATTTAAAGCACTAAAAATAAAAAACTATTTAATAAGATAATAAAAAGCACTTAAACGGAGACAGAAAGTGACAAAAACTAATATTTTGTTTATATTTGCTTGATCACTTCCTTTATGAATACTCTGCTATACTGAACGATTTTCGTCGATCCCGACGGTATTCACAATATAGAAGTTTTACTGTATTTGTTGTTTTCTGACTTAGTATATCATGTTAATAATAGAATTTTACTTTATTTATTATAAAGATAACTCAGCCATCAAAGGCTTCATACAGTAATTCTATTATATTGACGATCATTCAATACTTTTATCACAATAAGATACAAGTTGATGACCGAATCACATATGCAATGGTTTTTATTAAAAGTGGTGACCACGACAGCACAATACATAAATGGACGAATGTTTCTGTTTTGTTGTAATATACCATGACATATCCAAGGATACGGGAATATATCTAGATGTCACAACTCTCTCTCGTTCTATTTTTATCTGTTTGTGTTCAACAAAGAGAGAGAGAGAGAGAGAGATAAACATAGAATTTTATCGTTCGTTCATTGTCACCTATTCGACGATAACTATCCTATAAATAGTGTTGTTGATCGACAATTTCACTTACAACTCTTGTTTTTCAACCATAAAGATGAATGTAGGCAAATATTGTCATATTTTTTGTTTTTTTTTCAATTATATATGTGAATATATTATAGTCGTTTCTGATCATATTCGGCTTGGTTGCTTTATCAAGCGTAGCTATTGCCGAAAAGTATGTTTTCTGTCTATTGATTTATGTAGCTTTACTGGAAATATATTATTTTTTCTAGTTCGTATCTCATTATCGTACCTAAATTGCTCAAAGTTGGCTATGACAATCAACTTTCAATTTTCATTGCGGCTGCTTCGGAACCAGTAGAAGTTAAATTTAATTTAACCTTAGGTCAAAAATATATTCAAAGCACAATCACAGTAAAATCAGGTATGTCTTGTATTAAATATCGCGTTTAAAAAAAAAACATATTTGATATAGGTGAAACACGCAATGCTACATTGACTCTACCTTTTGAGTTTCCTACTGGTGTTGGTGAATTGACTATTGTTGGAAGTGGTGGTATTCGTTTTAAAGATAAACGAGATATCATTGTTTATGACAATCGTTATGTTGTTCTGGTTCAAACATCGGCATCTACCTATCATCCAGGTGATATCATGGAAATTCGTGTTGTTGCAACAAATGAAGAACTCATGCCAATAGAAAATGGTGAAGTTCTTATTGAAGTTTATGTATGCCTTTATTTTCTTTTTCTTTGAAATCACAAATATATATTTCTCATTGTAGGATGCTAATTTTAAACGTGTTGGTGAATTTGCAACCATTCCCATTCATTCGGGTAAATTATTTTGTTTAAATATTTTGTTTTCAAAATTTGATTTGATTTTATTTAGGTATTACCGAAACTTTTAAATTTCCAATTGGCACACAATGTAATACTGGTACATGGCTTGTTTCAGCTACTATTGACAATACAACATCATCTGTTGAAGTACTTGTTGCTCGACCAGTTACACCATCATTTGATGTTAAAGCTATATTTCAACGATTTCTTCTTCGTACAGATAAAACTCTTCGTGGTATTATTGAAATGCATAGTGATAATAATATGCCAATTTTTGGTCGTGTTATAATGGCTGTTGGTCAAATTACTGAACAAGACATGAAAATGATGAACGGACAACAAAATTTATTTCCACAACAAGGACAACAAATTTTATTTCCACAACAAGGACAAACAACTGAAGAATGGAGAACATGGAAATCACGACAATTTGAAATAGCTGGTCGTGTTGAAATCAATTATGATCTTTTATCATTATTTAATATTGATGTTACTAAAGCTGTTGCTATTAGAGTTTATATTCAAGTCGCTAATCTTGTTTCTGATCAAGAACGTATAATTGAACATGTTATTCCTGTATTTATACATAATGTTATTTATGATATTCATCCACTTCATTTTGAAACTGGTATGAAAAATGAATTTAAAATTATTGCCAAACGTCCTGATGGTAAACCAGCTAAAATGGAAAACTTAATTGTTACTGTTTCAATGATGATGAGTAATGAACAAGGAAAAGTACAAGAAGAAAAATCAGTTGACATTAAAGAGTTTTATACACGGTATGTATAATTTTAAATAGCTTAAAAGAAAAAACTTCTTTCTTTTAGTGGTCGTAATGATATTGGTTTATTCAATATAGAACTTCCAGATAATTGTATTGGTGTTCTTATGACAGTATATTTTCTTGTTTTTGTTTATTTTTAATTTTCTATATTTATGTCAATAGATAACACCATTAAGTGAAGATGGTAATAAACGTGGTTATCGTACTCATGCTGTTCCACTTATGCCAACACCTCGACGTGGTACTAGTGGTGCTAAATTATCAATTGAATTATTACCAACAACCACAAGCAAAGTTCAAATTGATGCTAATGTTCCAGTTGTTAGTTCACAAATTTCAACTGTTGGTCATACATCAAAATTTTATATTCAATTGACTCCATCGAAAGCAGTTAAAAAATTTGAACCATTACCAATGTCATATGTACTTTTAACAAATGGTCGTATTACACATACTGGTGAATTTATTATTCAACCAACAAATGAATGTCAATCAAGAAGTCAACGTTCTATTATATCAGAAGAACAGGTACGATCAACTTGTGTATTTAATGGTACTTTATCAATTGAAATTACACGTGATATGATGCCATATTCATCATTACTTGTATATACATTTCAACCATCATTTGGCTTCAATGTTGCTGAATCATATCGATTTTCAGTTGCTGGACTTTTTCAAAATACATTACAATTAAAAGCAGCCATTGTTCCATTTATATCAACTAATACAATGATTACAGATGAAGATAATGGTTCTACTAAAGATCTTGATTCATTAGAACATGTTGTTTTCGAACCAGTATCAATTTCAAATCGAGCTCAAGGTAAATCACGTATTGAACTATCACTTAGTGGTCCCCCAAATTCAATCGTCGGTGTTAATGTTATTGAATATGATAGTGTTATACAAGGTTTACCAAATGAAATTACTAAAGAACGTTTACTTCAATATTTAACAACTTATGAGCAAGTACCTATTGTTGGTATGCCAACGATTCGAACACTAGCAGATGAACAAATTGATTCTCATACACACGAAGTTGATACAACAGATGGAAATGAAGTTCAATATTTAGCAACAACAATGAGACGGGATGATAAAGAACATCAAACACAAGACATGGAGAGTACAACATCATCTTATAATATGAATGATGAAGTAACAGACGAGATGGATTTAGAAAGTCAAACTATGCATTTACTTGAAGGTTTCGATTCTGAAATGTTAATAAAAAAACCAAGTAAAACATTAAATAAAAGAGCTATTATTAGCGAAGAAGAAGAAGAAAACAATATTCATCGTGAACGTTTAGTCAGTTGAATTATTATTTAAAATTTTTTTTTTAATGTTTAATTTGAACTTTTCTTTTTTGTAGGGATTTAAAATTCGTTATCCGATTGAAAAGTTAATCTTTGGTAGTAGTTCATCTCGTAGTTTAAGACCAATTGATGGTGATGATGTTTATACAACAACAAATATGGAACGATTATATGGTGACATAAATAGTCGAAGATTACACTCACATTATCATCGTCGAACAGTGAAATCATTAAATCAATATGATACTATGGTTAATGATAATGATTATGTTGTTACAGCAAGTGTTCCATTGGTAACGAACTCTAATGTTGAAGTTAATCAACAAAATGAACCAGAAGAACCAGATGTTCAAAGTCTAAGATATGGTACACCATCATGGTATGAAAAAATTAATTTAAAATTATCATTAATTTCACAAGAAGCATTAATATTTATGCAATCAGCATTAATAATTGTTTCTGATTTTTCATCATTATATATTCCACCTGATATATCACGATCAAATTTAACTAAATTATTTTCAAAATATCGTGAACAATTAATAATCAGTAGTGATTCTGAACCATTTGATATTCGTGATGAAGCTCGTCAATTACTTGAAGAATATTTTGTAGAATCTGATTTATCGATGATTCCACCACAAATTACACTTGAAGAACAAGCTCGTATTGGTTACTATCGTTCAATCTTTTTTCATACAACTCGTATTGAATCTCAAGGTACTGGAAAAGTTCTTCTTCCACGAAGTAAACCATATGCAACGTGGCTTGCTACGGGATTTGCACTTAACTCCAAAACAGGTTTATCTGTTGCTCAACCAATTCGTCTTCCAACAAATTATGGTCTTTTCATTTTTGGTAATTTTCCTGATCAAGTTCAAACTGATGAACAAGCACTCTTAACATATGGTATTAACAATTATCTTGATAAAGATTTAACTAACGTTGTTGTACGTATTCGAACTTCAACTGATTTTCATATTATTGAACAAGATGAACAAGAAAATGTTAGATCAAGCACTGGTCAAGATTATACAATTACATTTCCATCTATTAAATCATTAGGTGTTGAAACACATGATATTATTTTGATACCAAAATATGCTGGTGTTGTTAAGATTATACTTGAAGTTGAATCGGAATTCGGTGGTGATTATGAAATTTTAACAACTTATGTACGTGAATCAGATATTGAACGTAAACAAATTACAACACATTTATATGATTTAACAAATGAAAACAAAACCTATGGTCCAATTGTTGAAAATGTCACTACATCAACATTTCTTCGATCAGTTCAAATTGCTGTTTCAGGTAAATTTTAAAAATATTCTTTTAAGTTTAATCTTTTTTCTCCAAATTTAGGTACTGGTCTTGATCATCTTGTTAAACAAAACACAATGGAAATAAATTCATTAATTGGTATTGATCGTGCAATTGTTCATCTATGGCGTTTACTCGGTCTTTATCGTTATTTTCATGAAACATCACAAATGGAATCAACACTTTTAGATGCAACAATGAGAAGTATTACAATAGCTTATCAAAATCTTCAATTTTATAATAATTATAATGGTTCATATTCATTTATTTCTAATCAAGATGAACAAAAATCATCACTTTATTTAACATCATTAGCTTTTGGTGCTTTAATTTCACCATTTATAACTGTTCATGATAATGTTGCAATTAATCGTACTTTAACATGGATTTTATCTCATCAACAAAATGATGGTTCGTTTGATGATCAAGGTTCATGTTTTCATTATCGAATTTGTTCAGGTAAATTTCATCGTGAATCATTAACAGCTATTGTTTTATATACAATGACATATAATAATGTATCACAATATGGACCTGAATTTGTTCATCGTCGATTATATAACGGTGAACAAAGTCCAATAGTACGTGCTCAACATTTTTTAGAATCACGTCTTGATGCTGTTAAATCATGTTTATTAACGACAACATTAATTGAATTAGCTCTTGTTCAATGTCAATCATTATCAAAACAATTCAAAGAAAAAATTTATGAAAATGTTCGTAACCGTCAATTAACTGTTGTACCTGAAGATGGTTCAAAATTTTTAAAAACTGTTAATGAAAATATAACATTTGATGATCAATTATTAATTAATGCATTAACACTTTCAATTTATGCTAATTATAATGATTGGAAAACAACACTTGAAATTGCCCGTTGGATGGTTGAACAAATAGAAATTCATCCATGTTGTAGCACAGTTTTAGATGATATTTTTTATATTGAAGCTTGGCTTAAAACTGCTTATCTTTTTCATCAATATGTAGGATCAGAAAATTTCTCAGTTCTAATTAATGTTACAGCTGATAATGGACAACACAAAGAATTTAATATTAATTCATCTAATATGGATATTACACAAAAACTTAGTTTTACTCTACCAATTAATCAAATTACTTATACAGTTAGTGGTTTTGGTATTGCTAGTGTTAACATTGAACAAATATATATGGAAAAAGAACAACAAACAGTTCAACCAGTTTCATTTCAATTAACTAATGAATATTTACCATTATCATTGTTAAATGAAATTACAGCTCGAACATGTCTAATTTATACACCAACATCTAATGATCAAAAATTAGCTAAAGATATTTCTAATCGTACTATTATTGTTGAAATCCAAATTCCATCAGGTAAATTCATTATTAGAAAAATTTTTTTTAAATTTAGAGTTAAATTTCAATTTTTTGTTTAGGTGTGCGTGTAAATCTTCGTCAAATAGGATTCTTCTTAAGTCGAGTTCCAGAAGCTATGTATTTTACATTTAATGAACGTACTAATAAAATAAATTTCTTCTTTAATATTCCATCAACTGTATATGGTAAACAAATTTGTTTTAATTGGCGTCTTGAACGTTTATCTATTATTGTATCATGGACTCCAATTCAAATACGTGCTTATGATTATCTTCAACCAGAATCACAATTAATTCGTCTTTTTCCAGTACAAATTGAATCAAGTTTTTTTGGATATTCATCATGGAAAATTTTCATGAAGCTCCATCAAAACTTGAACAATTAACAAATAGAAGAATAATGAAAGTTAATGTATGCTACATATAAACCAATGTTCAAAATGACTCGAATGATTTTGCGTCTTATCATCTAATATGGAGAATCAATCTTTTTTTCATTTTACAAATTAATATCTCCTTTTTTTTTGGACTATATCCTTTCCAATCTCATGAGGAAAGTCTTGGAGTTGTTTAATCACACTTAAGCTGGAACTATGCACATCATGTAGATCCTACTGAATTATGAATACCCTGAAAAGAATTCGAGTTCATAGCTTATTGTTGCCGATATACCACATTCTTACGATATTTTTAAATACAATGCCAGAACTTTCCGCAAGAAAACTGGTTTTTGGAATTTCAACTTAATACTTTGCATAGAAATAAGCCTTAACAACAATAGTTTATTATGAAATTTTCAAATGTTTTCGTTGTTTCTATCCTAGGATACAACTATGATAAAAGTACATCTTTCACATGGCAACCACACCCTTTGTTGGTTCGATGTTCTTATTTCGAGACGAGGACAAATTCAAATGATCTGACACTGCCATAATTAGCTACTCTCGTTGAGTCTTGTTTTTAGTTGAAATTCGAAAATTGATTTTTCTGAGGAGAATCACGACTTCATATTTAAAAAATACCATAATAATGCAATATGCCGGCAATAATAAGCTATGTGTCTGAACTCTTTTCAGGATATTTGTAACCCATTAGAATCTACTTGATGTACATGCTTCTAGCTCGAATACGACTAATCAATTGTAGGATTTCCCTTGTCAGTCAATCGTTTCTCTTCTATTTCATTCGTCTACGCCCATGTATATGTTTTTCCATTTGTTTTCGTCTTTGTCTTCATGTACAATATCCGATGCTTTTCGTTCCTTGTGTACATATGATTATGTGAATTGTATGTCTTTTCCTTGTCTGATGTATAATAATTTTTTTCTTTCTCACAGTTGCTGTTAAGATTAGATTAGACTAAAAATAGATGATTAAACATATTTCTCCATCTCAAATATATATGAATATTAAAAAAACAATTAAAACTGATAAATAATACAAGAAAATATTCTACTAATGAGTGTTCTATAATGAATGGCCGTTTTTTGTATCTCTTTTTTAAAATTATCTATGCATTCAATTTTCAGCGCTGCGACAAGCGGTCGCATAAAATTTTGTTTTGTTTTGAAAACAAAAAATATATAATTAAAATCAACTTTATTTTATAAAGTGTAGAGCTTTTCACGCTGGATCTTATGATATATTTTGTATTTAAAATAAAAGTACTAGAAGATAGAAAAATCGGCCATTCATTATGGAACATCCGTTATAATTTTATTTTGGTTAATTAACGCTAAAAAAAAATTCTTTTTATTGAATAAACAAGATGGAAACAAAAGGAATTATTTTATTTACAAATTAATTATTTTAATCAAGATAAAGATCAAAATCAATACGTTTTATAGAATAAAATTGTTCAGTACCAACACGACGACAACGAACTTTATCTTTATCTAATTTTCCTTCGATGTTTGTTAAACGAATCATTTGTTCAGTTGTAAATGGACCTTGAATAGTACTATTGTTATCGGTTGTATATTCCCAAAGAGTAGTCGATGAATCTATATTTTAAAAATCAAAAATAAATGAGATAAGATACAAACAAAACAAAAAAATACTATCTACCATTTTTATTATTTGATAAAGTTGAGCTTGTAATTGATGCAGTAATATCACTGTCAGCATACATATCAAATGTTGGATTATTAGTTGAACTAGAAGCAGATGATTGTAACCGATCAAGTTTTTTTTTAAGTTGTTCATAAGTTTCTTGATAAATATCAAGTTGACCATTCGATACAAATTGATCGGCAAGACCAGTCATTTCTTCAAGTAAAAGTTTATTTTTTTTTAATTCTTCTGATGTTAATTCAACAGGTGATGCAGTTGGAATTTCACCGGGCAATGGTTTTCGTTGTTTTATACGTTGTTTAGATTTATTACTGGACAAAAAAAAACAAAGCAATTTGATAAAATATTAAAACAATATTTCTTTGAAGAAAAATTTTTACCTTGTGGCAGCGGCTCCAAGTCGTTTTATTGCACGAACAACAGTTTCATTAGGTTGCATAATTGCAAGTATAGATTTTAGAGTATTAGCTTCATTAAATTGATTATCACTTGTTTCATCATCATCATCTTCATCATTATTTGATGAATTCATTTTTGATGGATCATCAGGATTTTCTTCAGTTGTTTGAGAGTTTTTTAATTTATAATTTTTTACATTAGTCCAGTCGATTTCATCAAGCCATGCATCATGAACTTCGTCTTTCTATAAATGAAAATCATCAAATAACAAACTCATTCGATCGATAATCAATACAAAAAAAAACAAACAGATATCCATTGAAGAAATTTTTGATACTTTGTTATAAATAACAAAAATATATAAAAGACATCTAACTGTCTGCGCTAGAATTAAAGATAGATGGGTGTAAGCTCAATAACTCGACAACAGTAACAGCTAATGACAGAGATGAAACCGGTACCAGTGTGTCTTATTGACTTTTTTGCTTTTATTATCTCATAGAGGATATATAATGAAATTTTGTTGGAAGTTCACTACATCAAATATCATTATCCACAGATGAAATAGTATGACAACTCATCAGTTCAGTGTCGGTATAGATTTCAGACAGGTCGATTCGGTCTACTCGGACTGATACCGGTCGTGAAAAATCCAGACCGGTTCCATCTCGGGCTCATGACCTGCGATTTTCAGCAATCGAAAGGGAACTCCGAAGGTTTTTTTTGTCTGATACTGTATAAGACAAAATTTCTTTAAAATCCATCATCTTCGCGAAACACTCAATAAACTGCATGAAAATAGTGTCCCTGTTCGATGTAATTTTGATTTTGACATGTACTTCAAATCTATAGTTCAAGGCGCGATCCAGATGATTATCTACTTACATCTCAATGTGAAGCAAACAAAATCGCACAGATATTCAGTCAAATTCTATAGAATTCTTGACTGTAACCAAATATTCTGACTTTTTATCGAAGTTTCTTTGAAATGGAACACTGTTAAATATTTCGCAACGATGATAGATTTTACTGGACTTTTAATATCATAAAAATCTCTTTGGTCTTCTAAAAAACCGTTTTAGATGAAATCTTATAAAATAAGACACAATAGGAAACTCAGTATCTTCTATTACAGGCCAGAGGAGATAGTCCACTTGGAGTATTCTTGACAATTGTACTTGACTGTATTAATAGAATACTCAAGGAATGTGTAAACTATTCAATATTTCTAAAAATTACTTCGATTATAATTCTTCATGATTATATTTAAACTATCAAACTGTACTACAATAGAGTATTCAACTCAAGAAAACTCAATCTGTTTAATTGATCTATTCAGTCGATTAGATTTGTTCTTGACTTATTTGTTACTCATACGAAAAACTTTTTTATTATAGAAACAAACACTTAACCAAAACTAGCAATAAAATTTCTCTTCTGAAAACAATGATTTCAGTTGTTATCTATTTCTAAACCAAAAAACAAACATAAATATTAAAATTTTACATACATCTTTTTTTCTCCATTGAAAACATCCACTTTCATCATAATGTCCTTCTTCCATTTCTTCTTCAATATTAAATGGTGTAATTTTAACTTCATCATCAAAACCAATTGTGGCTTTTTCTTGTCCAATTTCTAGATACACAAAAAATAAATAAATATTACGTTTATATTTTTTTTGGAACAGCGATTATTTTCTTTAACTCACCATCAAGATCATCTTGATTCATTGTTTTAGCATTATCTTGTTCATCATCATCTTCATCACTGTCTAATGTATATTTTCCACTATGTAAACGTGTATTTTCACTTTCATTCGGTAATTTCTTTTGTTTTTTACTTGTTTGATCTGTTTCAATATCAGTAGTAGAAACTATTTTACGTTTTCGTTCCATATTTATCTAGAATAACACAATCAAAAAAGAACAAAAAAGATTTTGTAGTTTATTTTCTACATAAAAAACATGAAATATATATATATATATATATGTATTTATTTAACGTTTTTTAAATCCAAATTTCTTTCTTTCATAAAACAAATCTGTTTTAGCACTTCCTAAATTAACAATTTTTGGACAACCATCACGATCTTTTTCCGTAATTGTACATTCTCGACAATAATATGCATCTGAACAACCAGGACCACCACATATAACACAACGACCTTGATATGAACCATAATTACATTCATCACATATTCGTACAAGTGTTGTCGGACGTACATATGAATCACAAATAACACAACGACCATCACATTTTTCACATAGACGACCGATTGCAACACCAGCTTGTTTACGACAAAATATTAAATCTGGATGATGTTTTGCCATTTTGATTATTGAGATTTTCTCTTATCTCATTGATGTTCACGTCGTTTTTCGTTTACACTACTCTAGATCAGTGACACCTGCACCTAATTGGTCATATACATAAAGCGAGAAAGAGCCAAAGAAAAGAGATGTATTTATTTATTGATTTTCAGTTAATAAGCATAAGAGAAACGAAAGATGGCGTGAGCTAACACTGTAAATTAGATCAAAAGAACAACGATTCAGAAAAGAGCACTATCTAATTAGGCAGATATCTAACGAACTTAAGACTAATATAATCCATTTAGATATTGTTTTCTCGTTTTTTTTTTCTTTTGAATATCAACAACTATATGAATTTAGTTTTTTTAGATATGTTTTTTCTGTATGAATTTTCTTTTTCAAATAAATAGTTGTGAATATTTATAAGTACTACTTTTTGAATTTACCGATCTCAATAGTACAACAAATAATACACCACGCTAATGTTCAGCATGAATCAAATTTTGTAACTCGAGTTGGATACTACCTCACGTTTCCTTCTCCTTATACTTATTCACTAAAACAAAAAAAAATTTATCAGTTTTTTCTTCTTTTCTCTGTATATATTACCAATTAGAAGAGTAACGTCATTGATGTGGAGAAGTATCTGTTTGCCAGTGGGATAATTATTATCTAATCTAAATAGACGTTGACGAGATAAAATAATTATCTATTATGAGTGTCTGAGTTGTTAAATTCGATGCCTATTATGTACATATGTTTATGCATCATCTGTTAGTAATGGTGGTCTGATCCAAGTGCGCAAATGCCATCTTACTATAAGTGTGCTTATATATCTATTGAATTAGTTTCAGACCTGTATGATGAGTAGCTTAATCTACTACAATCAATGAATCCAAATTTATCCATCAAAAGTTCCGTGGAATTTGAGTTGAAAAATTATGAAGACGCATAACAAGTAAAATACTCACCTATTTATTATCTTTATTAGTTTTTCTTTGTAATTGATATTATCTACAGCTACAAACATCGACAACAAAATTCGGCTTGGTATCTTTATTGATCGTACCAAATGTTAATTTAAACTTAGGTTGTTTCATGGGAAATTTGTTTTCATACTTTTTCCGTCATTTTGTAGACGCTATACTCTACTCTGAGAAATCATTTGAAATTGACTACAACTTAAAAAAGAATGAAATATTGTTTTGTATGTATAAGCTAGTTAATACTCTGCTCTTATTGATATGAAACTGAGAGGATTTCTCCCAAAATATCGATCATGTCAGCAGCAGAAACTTTTTTTATTTTGAATTGAAAAATCTCATTTGAAAGCCCAAAAAAAGTCACTACGAAATTACAAATATGAGCCCGTTCGGACTTGTCTATGAGAAATGGCAAGACTTCAAATTTTCGGATCATACTCTTGAAACGTCTTTTTCAGTTGTCATGGTATTTCACCGTTTTCTTCACGATTACTTCATTAATCGAGATGGGGAATATAGCACATAATAGATAATTTTTTACGCTACAAAACAGGTCTATTCTATTATCTTTTGAATAGCTTTCTGTATGAGAATGGAACCACAACACAAAAAATAAGAAAGCAGTTTCCGGAATTGGCCACGTTGACACTTCTTCAGCTCGCAAGGCATGCCAAATTAAGTCTAACTTGACCTGACTTACCTAGCTCTGACAGTTTCAGGCATCAACTTTTAGTAGCTTGGAAACAACCATAGGCAAAATAAGGACTTTCAGTCTGGATTTTTTTAAAAATGTTGTAGCCCTAGTCAAGGTGCATCTTTTGGTATGTTTTTCCTTGAGTAATTCTGCTATTTCGATGCCAACACGAAAAATCCAAAGAAATAAAAAATTTTGTTTTTTAGAGTTCATTGAAAATTCAAAATTTTATTTTTGTTTCTACAGTCACAACCGTGGTGGGGTAGTTTCTGTGAGGTTTGTCATGTAAAAACCATATAACAATATGACTTTTAAATAAAACAGAAATGTATTAAAGAAAATAATTCAACTATGAAAGATAGAAAAGTGCACTGATTTCTCTAAACGAAAAAAAAAATGCATTTCTAAACGAATTCATTTTGTCATTTCTTTTGTACTTGAAGAAAGATGACAATCAAAAATCTGTAGTTGAACAGAATTAGCTGTAAAGAAAGAAGGTTTGAAACAGAATGAGAAAGCCCACGAATCGAATTTTGCCTTTCAATCGCCATTTCACTTTAGACGAACTTCGTAAAAAACCTTTATTATAAACATTTACTGATGATTGAGAGACATATTGATATATCGAGAACTTTCAATCAAATCATGAGTTAACTTCAATAAAACTATGATTCATTCATAAACAAGATTAAAGTGTCATTGCACAAGATTCTTGTGTGTAACCTTGCTTTTATTTTATCGTGGAATTGATCGTGAACGAAGAAATATTCCTTTTCAGCGATTGGATTCATCAAATGTCTACATAATTCAATAAAAAAAAAACTGGCAATCCTTATGAACCAAAAAATATTATTCGAATGTGAAACGATTCACTATCATAGATCCAGAGAAATGTGAGAATTTTTTATCAAGTGAAGAAATAGATCTGATTTAAATCCATTTCAAATACATTATGTCTACATCTATTAAAATGATAAATCTCATTATATTCGATACATTTCACAAATATACAATTCTTATATTCTTCGAAAATATTTTTAATCGAAACATTTACATACTTTCGAGCTGAAGAGAAGTTAATAAAAATCATACTACTTTTTTTTTTATTAGATATGCAACAAAAAGCTTTTTCATTAGAGAAATTGAAGAATTATTTTTGTCGTCAATCAATCTATTGAGTTCGTAGACGACCATGACGTTTTCTAAAAAGAAGAGACAAAATCTTTTTTTTTAAATTATAACAATATAATTGTTGTTAGATTTCTTCCCTGATAGCATTCTTTCATCACAATCGTATCCAGATAGACGTGACCAATTGACTAATCATCTTAGTTTATCTCATTCCATGAAAATCAAAATCTATTACTAGATAATGAATACTAAATGTATTAAATATCAGTCGACAGGGATTTACTAATTGTTAACGACTAATTGAAACAAAAAATCCAATATATATGTCATTCTATGTTTGAATTTGAATTTTTTACTTATTAAATTAAATGAATGCTCCTCACAACTATCAAGTATCACTTGGCATTGTTTTCTTTTATAAAATTTGAACAAACCACTTTTTTCTTGTCGTTATTCAAGAGTATCTTTTCATAATTGATCGAATTTAGTCAATAACTGAAAATTTTCGACAGTTGAAATTTTTGGTTCATGGACTGAAAGGAACTCTGATATCCAGTGAATAATTTCAATCCTATTCTTTTGGATTACAAGAATTCCAGTCCGGACTTAAATTGACCTAATTAACTTGTATAAAAAAACCTTATTTTTTTAATTAGATGCTGCATTCCATAGTGCTGAGCACGATGCGTAACTATAGTATGATCTAAATTCATACTGCTTAACACTATGCCATCTTATTAACAGAACCCTAGAACTGTGATTTGATCTAAATATACACTGCTGAGCACTATGTTGCCCTGCTCAACACTATGAAATGTAGCAACTAATTAGAGACCTAAGACTTTTTATAAGAGTTAATCAGGTGAATTTAAGCCTAGATCGAAATCCTGATTTCGCGTCTCTTTCGTTCAATTTTGGCCTACGATTCATTATAAACGAACTTGAAATTTCAACAAAAATCTCAAATGGATGAATTTTCTTATCTTTTTTTTCATGGCACATGAGAAAACCTAAATTAAAATGTTATATTCGTTTCTGTTAAGTAGATTTGTTTCAACTATTCAAAATCTCCATTACGATTTAGATACACATTAAACAAGCATTGTATACATATAAAAAAACATTGGATTAATCTTAAGCGTGAACATAAAGAGGCATAGGTATGCACCCTGCTGTTGTTTGTCTAATTGAGAAATGATATTGAGTTATGTGTGAAATAGAATAACAGCCTTCGGGTTACGTTTGTCTTTTCGATAAGCCATTTTGTTCTCTACCGACACTAGAGAAAATGTGTTGTTAAACAGAAAAACATCGATTTCACACTATCTATTTTTTTTTGCTCTTCTTTACAAAGAAATTTTTTTTTTCTTTTTTTGATCCTCATTTGAACTAATTTTTTTTTAAATTTCGTTTTCAAACTAACATAACTAATCGATTTGAGCTTTTCACGCTTATCATTTACGCTCATCCTTTAACTCTGTTCTTTATGAGTATCAAACGTAGACTATTCATTTTATTTCATAAGGAAAACATATACAATAAGAGGAATAAAATCATTCAAGTTAGTTTAAGCATCAAAATTGATTGATTCATTTGGACTTGCATATGACGAAGCCATAGAATGATAATGTGTTGGATAATAAGATGTAGAATATGGATCATATAACGGATAAGGTGTTGGTGTTGAAGATGATACACAAGCATTTTGTATTATCGGTGAATTTATTGGATGAATTTCTGTTGAAGTATTTGGACTTGAATAAATTGTATGATATGATGAGAGAGCCGGTGAACCCATGTAATATGAATTAGCAGATGGAGGGTAAAAAGAAGATACTGATTGGTGCCCATAAGGTGACTGATGCATGGATGAAGCTTGCATATGTAATTGACGTATTTCTTGACGATAACGTCGACGATTAAAACGACCTTGTTCAAATTCTGGTTCTACTATTTCATGTATACGCCAATCTAAATAGATACTTTTTTTTGAAAAAATGAATCGATTTCATCGAATTACTTACAATGTCCTTTGCCATTTGATCCTCGTCCTGCTTTAACAAAACAATCATTTAAAGATAAATTATGTCTTACACTATTTTTCCAAGATTTATTAACATCTTCAGCAAAATATCGAAATCTAAATTAAATTATTTTTATAAAAAAATGAAACTCGAGAAAAAAATAATCATAACATACTTTCGTTGAAAATATTCATAAATTTCATATAATTGCATCATACGATTAGGTGATTGTAAAATAGCTTCAGCAATTATTTTTAAATATGATTGATCGGGTTTTTTTGGTTTATCCTTATCATCTTAAAATAAAAAAATTTCAAAAAGAAAAAAACAAACACAAAAAGTTTTTTTTTCGTTTTATTACCTGTTGAATTTTCTTGATTATTAAAATCTTCTTCGATCGAACCAGTTTCATCCGAAAGACCTTCATCAACAATGCCTGAATCATGAAATGGATATTTATTCATTATAAATTCGTGTTCGGAATTTGGTTGATAATACACTAAAAATAGATAAAATAAGAAAATAAAGTCAAGCTGTGAGTGTTGACTAACAAATTATGTCAAATGAAAAATGAAATTTACTTACTGTTATTTGGAATCGATTGCATTTTTCAATAGAAGGAATTATTGTGCGATTGTATACATACAAACAACTAGGCAAAGATCAAAATGAATAATGCGTATGTTTTGCTTTTTCTATATTTGAATATAAACAAACAATTAATAAGAGAAAAAAGAGGGAGAGAGAGAGAAAATAAAAAGATGAGTATTCGTCATTTAACAATAGAAAAAATTTTATTGGAACCAATCATATTGAAAATATTTTTCTATTCTCTCTATATGTATAATTAAAATCAATAGCCAATTAATCATCAATTAATGAAATAAGCTTGTTTTATAAATGAGCTCCTTGGCTAATCGAAATAAAATAATCCATAAGAATTAAAATCTAATATTAATTATTTACTAAAAAGAAATTTTTTCGTTACATTTGAAAAATTTATGAATGTTTCTTTTGTTTTCTATGAACGTCGATTCAAAAATGACACCTTCTATTTCTTGTTTTTTTCGACTGAAAAGGTGTAATCTAGAGAAAACTTATCAAAGTATGATACACAATTGCCAATTGAGTAAGAACACCTTTTTTGTTTATGACTTGAAACATTCACAAATTGTTAATTGTATTGTAAAATGAAGGTTTCTAGTGATCTTATTAGAACATTGATCTTTTTCTTTTTTTTTTTTTTTTGATGTTCTCATTGACTGATCGATATCAATAGTGAAAAGCCTGATAATAGTTCTAAAAGAAGCTTAGCTCAAAAGATAAAAGCATGTTAAATTAGACTTTAAATTGATGATTTTTCGAAAAAGCATTAGTTTGATATAAAGATGAAAAATCTATTGACTCAACAACGAAGATTACTATTATTAAGAAGAGATGGTGGATCATTTAAAGCTGTTTGCAGTGTTATTGAAATCTAAGATTTTGTTAGAAAATTAGTTTTCAACCGTCTCAGTTATGAGATGGAAAGTAATCGCTAGTTTTCCATAATGTATTGAAAAATTACTCAAGAATATATTCTCTTATAACATATCATTGTTTTGATGGCTGCAGTTTTAGTGAGTATCGTAATTTGTTGTGTCTGCAGACACCACGAGGAACATACAATTGTGATCCAGAAAGTTCTTTACATCAAAATTTTGTTTCACTTACACATTGAATTAGGCACGATACGAAAAATCGAATAATGTAACCGTTGGTAATCGTAATACGTTGAGGAGATTTGATTTAATTTTGTTTGCATCTATTCTATTATATAAGTCTGATCATAGTATTATGTGACCTATAGGAAATGAATGGAACATGTGTAGTATAACGGATGATCGGAAAGTTTTTAGACAAGTTGTTTGTTTACTTTTGGCCAACTAGAAAGTATTTTTGATGAGCCAAAAACTACGAATTTGTGCTCTTTTCGAATATGGAGTTTAGAAGATTTGTCTTAGTTTTTGTTCAAGAGTAGTGAAATAATTTTTGGAAAACTTGAAAAATTTAGTTTGAATGGAAAATTTTTATATTTTTACTATCGCGATTCGAAACTAAAAGTTAGGATCTTCACTTATATATCACTATGTAGATCAGAAGTTATCCTACAAAATGCACTATTTGAACTGTGTTTGTCGTTCAAAAGTGAACAAACATCGTGCCTAAGGAATTCTGATCACCCATTAGGTGATCGTAAATGTATTCAACAAAAATATTCAATTGAAAAATGAATTATAAATAGGAATTTAGATATACAAAATATTTTCATGATCGTTAAGATCTCACATGTACTTCCAATATATTTTTGCGTAAATTATCATGACGAAAAAAAAAAAGTCGGAATTTTGTAAGATTATTTTTGATGCGTAGCAAAATTTGTTGAATTGCTCGTAATACTTGAAACATTGTTATTGCATCATGCCTATGTCAATACATTTTTTTTCTCGTTCTGTCATGAGTAATATATATATATATATAAATTATGGTACAAAGGAAGCGTTTTTTTTTAGTTTTTGTAATCACGTTTTTTGTCATAAGAAATAAATAACAAAAAAAGAAGATGCTCAATATTACAGATGCAATTCAAAGACATAATGAACATAAAGAGGACTTTCGTTTAGTAAAACAATATGAACGGCGTCAATTAAAATTAGGTAAACGACTTGCTTATTTACTTCGATATGGAGCAGAAAAAGAAGGTTGTCGAGTTGATGAAGGTATGTATTGTTTTAGACAAGCAAAATTATTTCATTCATTTCATTTTTTTTTAAATTTAAAGGTTGGATTTTCTTACGAGATCTTATGAAAGTTTCACTTCTTCGTGAATATACAGAAAATGAAGTACTTGGAGAAATTCAAACATCATATTCATATAGAAAGACACAAAGATATCAATGGGAAAAACGTCCTGATGGAGTTTATGTTCGAGCAGCCTATGGTCGAAGATTTGAACGAGTATGTTTAGTTATTTTTCTTATTAGAATTTAATTGATGTTTACTTTATTTTTGTTTCTAGAATCCATATCATGAACAAACTCAGATACGTCGTTTATTAGATTTAACATTAGAATATATTTGTGAAAATGTAGAACAATTCGATTTCGAAAATTTTCCAGATGAATTTTTAATAAAGTAATTTTTAAAAAAATTGATTTTTTTTTTATACAAACAAAATATTTATTCTGTTTTTTTTTTAGTGAAATAATTCATCGTATTAAAAGAAATGGTAAATTAACTAGTAAAAAATTACAAAATTTACTGTCCGAAACAATGGAACATTTAGATCTTGATGGAATTTATTTAACAGGTTTGAATTTATTTTTCGGAAGTAACAAAAAGAAAGAACAAGAAATTTTTATTTGAATAATTTAGAATCAGGTATCAGAGCTGTTTATACAAAATGTCCAAATTTAAAAGTATTGTCGTTAAAAAGTTGTGGTTATGTACTTAATGATCATTATATGGAACAAATTATACGAGTAAAATTAATATTTCAATATAAATTTTTTTTATGAATAATATCTTATTTTATTTTAGAAATGTCCATTAATTGAATCTCTTGATTTATCATATTGTCGACATTTAACTGATCGAACTTTGAATAATTTAATAAAATATTATTCGAAAAATCTACTTCAACTTATACTTTCTGGTAATCACAATTATACTGGTGATGCTATTGTACGTCTTGTATCTGAATGTGAACAATTAAAACAACTCGATATATGGGATAATCCGAATTGTACAAATGATATTCTGAATATTTTAATTACTTTAGCTAAATCACGCGGAAATGATCGAACAATAACTATTGTACATAAAAATCTTCAACATCCTGTCGTTGCACCTGATAATCCTTGGGCAGTTGTTAATGCTAAAACAAGATAATCAAATGTAAAATGTACCTAGTTTTATTTCTAATTGTTAACAAAGAAATACGCGTACAATTTAAACATAAAAATTGCCATTGGAATGAGCACCTAGATTGATCAATGACTTTTATCATAAAAAAAAAGAATATTTTGTTTTGATTAAGAAAAAGAAAAAAAATGTTGATATTAATTTAAAACTATTTTCTAAAAATTAATTTTGTCAACTCTTGTTATGAAAATTTTATCTTCTTGTTTTTTTTTTTTTTGAAAGAATAAATTATATTTTAAAAACGACATAAACAAAAAATGATAGGAATAACAGCAGCTATTGCAATAAATAATGGCATTAATGAACTCGATTGATCGTCTGTATATGGATCAAGCACTGTTGGTCCACTTGGTTTTAAAGTACGTTTTACTTTAGCAGCTTTAGTTGGTTTTTCATCTTCTACTTCTTTTTCTACTTCAGGTTGTTCTGATTCAGATTTTGGTGGTAATTTTGGAATTTCTATCATTTAAAAAAAAATAGAAGAAAATAAACAAGAAAAAGAAGATATCTATATAATATACACATACGATCAACGGATCCTTTCCATATAATAATTGCATTAATTTTTGGATTATCTTTATTATCAAATTTTTCAAAAGTAACTTTTATTTTTCCTGAATACGATGAACTACGTGATTTAACAACTAGACGACCATTTTTGATTTGGAATGGAATATATTCATCATGAGCTGTTGCACGACCAGCTTTAGCAAATATATCTAATTCATCAATAACAGAATGTTCATTATTAAGAAGTACTTGAAATACCTAAGAAAAAATGAAATCTATTTTATTAATATAAATCTTTTTTTTTTTAAATTAAACAAACTTTCATATTTGGTGCATTAAACCAAACTTCAGCAAATTTCATCCAAAGTACATAATCTCCATCATCAACCAGATCGATTTCATATGAAAAACTGTTTAAATCATAACGTTCAGTTTGATAAAGTGCCATATCTTCTCGTGATACACGACTTATAAATGAATTACGTCCATAATCAGATGTTATACCAGATTTAAGATAATCTTTACGATATCTTATTCCTTTAAATAAAACCAATATTCATTTTTGTTTTGTTATAAAATCTCAATTTTTAATCTTACCATTTGCATCTGTATGTGCATCACCACCACAATTAATAGCATACATAACATGATCCATAATACCAGCTGAATAACATTGATGAATACAATAGATGAATAGATATAGATACCTCATTTTTACCTAGATAAGACAAATGAATGAATGAATGAATGAATGAATGATTCTAAACAATGAATATTGAGTTACATAAATGGTTTATAAAATAAACCAATAATATATTTGTTGATGTCGCTTTTAATAAAAAAAAGACTACATAGAGTTGTTATCTATGGTAACATATTTTTAAGGGATTTCGAAGAAGAAGAAGACGAATTAAAATGTTTTTTCCCAAGAAGAAACAGAAAGGAAGAAAAGAAAGTGGCCCGTAAAGTTTTTCGAGGAAGTAAATGATGCTTTCTTCCTTGCAGCACTCATATATAATATATATATATATATAAACGAAGCTTTTTTTATTGTGATAGTAGAGACTTTGAAACACAAAATTAAATGTCAGGCAAAACATCATCTTCAAAACGACATGAGGCTTTGTTTAAGGGTTTCAAACTTCATTGGATGAATTTACGTGACGCTCAATCAGGAGAAAGTCTTTGGCAATCATCGGAGAATTTGTATGTATATTATTTTATATTAATATTATTATATCATTCGAATTCATATAGATCATCACCTGGTGCTGAACATGAAGCACGGGTACCAAAGCGTATACTTAAATGCCGAGCAGTTTCACGTGAAATTAATTTCTCATCAGACGAAGAAATGCAACACTTTCGTTTAGAACAACGTGTCTATTTTAAGGACACAGTTATTGAAGGTAATTAAGATTGTGAATATAAATTGTTATAATGTGCAATCACAATCCTTAAATAATTTGATTGAAAATAATACGAAGAAAAATTTTATGTTTTTTAATATTCAGAGAAAGAATTATTCTCAAATGCTCAATTAATCAGAAAAATTTTATGGATTGATCAATTCATTTTTTCCTAGATAAAATCTTTCTTGTCTGAAGTATAAACACATTAATAAATGTTTTAACTGAAAACATTACATAGATGCGGAAGAAATGAATTCTAAAAATTTTCTTGGACAAGGAAGTTGTTGTTTTTTTTTTTGGAAAGTAGTTTTCTCATTAGAATATCTGTGAAAATATAACTATTAATGAACGTCAAAATTTGTAATGAGAATGTTCAATTCGTAGCTCATAGCATTAGTGTAGAGATGTTATACGGTTTTTAGATTTTGCATTGATTTTAATGCTCTCTATTGGGTTTTATAACAATGATTTCCAATAATTATGAATCACTGTTAAAATAAATAATGAATGATTTTTTTTCATTCTTTATATACAATTTAGTACAAAACTTGCAACACATCTTATTGTTATAGGATACACTTTTGCAATAAGATCATAATTTTTGCTCTTATTTTAAAAGACTCTTTAGATCTCGAAATAATCTATTAATTACTTAAAACTACTTCTGCAATTTAGAATGGCAATTCTCATTCGGTTTTGTTATTCCTGGTTCAACGAATACTTGGCAGTCGTTAATTGAAGCTGCACCAGAAAATCAAATGATTCCTGCCAATTTACTCAAGTAAAATTTTAACATCTTGATATAAATAATCTTTTTAATACTTTTTTTTTCTAGTGGAAACATTGTTATAGAAACTAAATTCTTTGATGGTGATATTGAAGTGTCAACATCCCGTGTTCGTTTACTTTATATATAATCCTTGTCGAAAAAAACCTATCTTTTTTTTTCTGCTAAATTCTTTTTAAAAGAAATCGAAGAAATATATGTGGAAATGTGCTCTTACTCTTCGTACTAAGATTTCTATCATTTCGTTGTTTGTATTTGTGAATTATATTTCATTGAAATAAAAATGATCATACCACTAGTTCATGTGATTACGTCTAGATTTTATTTTGTTGTCAATGTATATAGATATTTTATTGATTATGCAAACAAATATAATTAAACAAGATGACTATATCATATAACAAAAAAGAAAAAAAACTTCATTCTCATTGTTGTTTCAAAAATTATTCAGTAACCATGTCATTTATTTTATTAGACTTTTCCTAAATAAAAATATTCAAATGATGAAAGGGAAAATTTTTTGTCACTTATGCTACTTACTATTAACTAACGCTAGACCAATTTCAATTGTTCAAAAATTGAATTTTTTATCTCAAACTTTCATTAAATTAAACCATTTAATACATGCTACAAAAGTATACTGTAGAGATAGAAGCGATCTGAATTTTCACGACTGGTATACTTACTACCAGTCGGTGTGAAATCCATGCCAACACTCGACTGACAAGTTGTCGTACTATTTCATCTGCGGATAGTGATATTTGACGTAGTGAACTTTCAACAAAGTTTCATTACACATCCTCTTTGAAATAATAAGAGCACAAACTAAATAAGACATATCGATAATGGCTGATCTACCGTCAGACGGATCAGTTTGAAATCTGTACCGATTCTGAACTCAACTGGCTGGTAACCGGTATCGGTTACATCTCTGTTATATTGATCGATTAATCTAGTCATCTTCCTATAAACTTATATATGACCAAAATATATCCACTTGAGCGTCTAATCCATCGAGCTGACAGCATATATATTGCATCGTGACATATATTTACGTCTTTATTTGCCTTCATGATAAATTTTGAAAAACTCCACATTAGAATCTACAACTTTCTCTTTATTACTCATTTCAAAATTCGAAAAAAAAACATTAGTTAACTATTGTGAAACTTTTGGTCAATCGCTTTAATAATTGAATAATCATTTTCTGTTGCTCTTTTTTTATCTTTCATGTAGCTTCATGTTTTTGTTATTGTAAACGAAAAATTTTATAGATCTATTTATCTACCATGAGTATTCTAAGTTCCCACAATTCTAACAAGGGAACATATACAAGTGTCAAATAGTTTTTGAGTCGGGACTATGTGCATCATGTAGATTCTAACGAACGATAAATACCCTGAAAAAAGTTCGACTATTGATTTATTGCTGCCGGGGTATTGCATTTTTTATGGTATTTTTTTTTAGTAGAAGGCCATAGTCTGCCTCACGAACACAAAGGAAACTGAGTTTCGAATTTCAACTTGAAACTTCGCATTGAAATATGTCTTAACAAGAATAGTTTATTGTAAAAGTTTCAGATCTTTTGATTGTTTCTATCCTAAGATATGGTTATGGTGATAGCATTTTTTTGTCACACCACCCATATATAACGGCCAATTCCGATGTTCTTATTTCAGGAAAGACGTAATCTAAAAATCTACACCTTTCACAATAATCTATTCTCGTTAAGGTCTGTCTCTGTGCAATATTTCAACTCGAAATTTGAAATTCAATTTTTTTGGTGTTCGTGAGGGAGACTACGACCTTCTACTAAAAAATATCATGAAAAATGCAATATCTCAGTAGCGATAAACCAATAGCCGAACTTTTTTCAGAGTATTTATCGTTCTTTAAGATCTATATGATGTACATAGTCATGACTCAAAAGCTATTTGACACTTAAATATATTCTCTTGTAAGTATTACGATCAGAAAAAAGATGTGCACAGAATGATATACTTTTATCTTGAATACATTTGTCACATACAGAAATAGATAATGGAATAAAGAACACCAAAAAGTAGATAAGGTATATGAAGCGACTAAACGCATGAAAATTGACATACAAACTGAAGAAAAACAAAGACTTGACATAACTTTTATATTTTATTAATTAACTAAAACAAAAACATGAAGGATTATTTAGCAGGATTATTTGCTGGTAAGGCGGAATCAATTAAAATCATTTCATTGAAGTCTCCTCTTCAAAAAAAAAATCATTTTCTAGGTATTACGACTACATTTATAGTTCATCCAATCGATACAATTAAAGTTACTATGCAATCTCATTCAACACATAGTATACCTAAAGCAATTAAATTGATTATTAAATTAAATTCAGTGAGCGAATATACTAGATTATTTCTTTGTTGTTATTAAAAATTGTTTAAGTATAGATACAAGGATTTTATCGTGGTGTACCAGCTCATTTACTTGTTCAATGTGGATCTCAAACATCATTTTATGGTTCATATGCGCATTGTCTTCGTTTCTTAGGATCAGATCGTGATAATCAACACACAATCTCAGTATTACATAATTTTATTGCTGGTTCTTTTGGTGGTTTGATACAAGCATTTCCATCAAGTATACTTGAATTATTTAAAATTCGTCTACAAACAACAAGTAAATAATTCGAAAAACAAAAAAACCGAATTTCCAAAAAAAGAAATATATTCTTTTTGTTTTAGGTTATCAACAAGAAGCAAATGTTTATCAACTATTTCGTCACATCATTAAAACAGAAGGATATCGAGGTCTTTTTCGTGGTTTACATGCAACGATTTGGCGAGATTCACCTACTTATGGTAAACAGTTTTCACTTATCATTTAAATATATATACCTCCGGAAAAAAGAAACTGCATTCAGTATTTTAAAGAAATCTTTTCTATAATAAAATATTTTTAAAAAAATAATGATATATTCTGAACACCCGTACAGTTTTCTATCACTCTATATAATTAGGTTTTCATTTAGACCTATTTATTATGAAAATAAATTTCATGCAACGAAGGCACCCTCATATCCAGATTCCCACGGGTTTGATTTTGTCACTGTCATCAAAATAAATTTTTGAAATTTTTTATCACTATAGAATTATCTTTTTCAAAAAATCAATCATATATTCTGATAGCGCTTGAAATTTTCTATCTTTCTATATAGGTGGTTACTGTCTTGCACTTATTTATTATCAAAATAATTTGAGTATAATGAAGACAACCTTAATAGACAAGTACGAAAAATTCACGTTTTTGGTTACTTTTTTTGACTTTCTATGTCCAATTATACGTACAAAGAAAATAAGTTTTTACAAAAGTAATTATGCATTCTGATAGAGCTTGAAATTCTCTATCATTTCATATATTTTTGTCTTATGTTGCATATATGTACTGAAGAATAATTTGAATATTATGCGGCAATGCTCCTTGACAAACTGTAAAAAAAACTGGATTTTTTATTTATCTCTTTCGTTTTTTGTTTCACAAGCTCAAAATGATCGAGGAAATACGTCATTGTTAGAAGATATAATTATTTCTTTCAAAATTTATATCTGAAGTAATAATAAAAGTGATAACAAACTAGAAATAAAAAGAATAGTGATAAGAGAAAATACAGTTTTTTAGGATTCGTTAAAATAGATGTTTAAATACTACTCCACTTATTTTTCACCATATAAATATAAGATAAGACGAAAATATATAGAATGATAGAGAATTTCAAGCGCTATCAGAATATATGATTGATTTTTTAAAAAGATAATTCTATAGTGATAAAAAATTTCAAAAACTTATTTGGATGACAGTGACAAAATCAAACCTGTGAGAATCGGGATATGAGGCTGTCTTTGTTGCATGAAATTTATTTTCATAATAAATAGATCTAAATAAAGACTTAGTTATACAGGGTGATAGAAAACTCCACGGACTTGCAGAATATATCTTTATTTTTTAAAAGATATATTATTATAGAAAAGATTTCGATAAAATACTGAATGCAGTTTCTTTTTTCCGGGGGTATAATGTATACTTTTAAAAATACTCAGATTTATTGAGTTCATACTTTTATCTAACTCATTTTAATAGTATTATAATGAAAAACATTTTGCTCAAATAACAAGTAATTATTAGTTTTATACCAGACGTATAATAGTATCTGTTGAAATCAATAAGAATATAGATTCTAATGTAAGAAAATATAATCATGTTCTGTAAATATTTCTTAGAAACATAATAATGACATAAAATGATTAATATAAGAAGTAGAACAGAAAAAGAAAAAGATTATGAAAATTTTCATATTGAAGAATTAGGATCGGTCAAACAAAATTATTTGCACAAGTTCTTTATGAAATAATATTAAAAAATTTGAAATAAATATTAATATTAATAATTTTAGATTTCATTTAAAAACAATTTATCATAGTTTGTCTTGTTTGCAGATAGAAGCAGAAAGATATTTCATCATTATCAACAAACTAGAAAACATAATCTGTTTGTCTTAATATGAACACGTCTATCTTAGACAACAAGAATTTATGCGTCGAGGTCCTTTTTTTTCAGACAGTAAAATTTCAGATCGTTACATATAAATGTATTTGTCGAAGTAACGTTTCTGCTTATCAAATCGCTTTTGAGTCGGAACTATGTGCATTATGTAGGTTCTAATGAACTATGAATAGTCTAAAAAGAGTTCGGACTAATAGCTTATTATTATCGAGACGCTGTATTTTTAGTAGCAGGCCATGTTCCTCCTCCAGGAATACCAGGAAAACTGAATTTAGAAATTTCGATTTAAAACTTTGTATTGAGATACGTTTTAACAAGAATAGTTCACTGTAAAAGCTTCAGATCTTTTGATTGCTTCTATCCAAAGATATGACTATGATATAAGCATTTTTTCACACCCCTCATATACAACGGCCAATTCCGATGTTCTTATTTCAGGAACTGCGAAATATAGAAATCTGAACCTTTCACAATAATCTATTCTCGTTAAGGCCTGTCTCTATACAAAGTTTCAAGTCGAAATTCGAAACTCAATTTTTCTATTGTTTCAGAAGGAAAGGAATACGACCTTCTACTAAAAAATACAATAACGCGGCAGCAATATGCTATTAACCCGAACTCTTTTTAGGGTATTCATATCTCGTGAGAGTCTATATAATGCACATAGTCCCAACTCAAAAGCGATTTAACATTTAGGAATGTTCCTTACCAAGAGTAAATAATTTCTATAATATATTATATAACCTTAAAACAACTTCTTTCTTTTTATTTTTGTATATGACAACTCCTGCATATTAGCGAGATGAAATGAATAAAAAAAAAAATTTTTTTTTCATAGGTATTTATATGATGATTTATGATCCATTAAAAGCTTATTTACACTTATCAATAAATAGTGAACTAATCAGTGGTTTTATAGCCGGTGGAACTGTTGGTGTTATTAGTTGGACATTAGCTTGTCCAGTAGATATATGCAAAAGTAAACAACAAGCTGGTTATACAAATAAAAATTTATTTCAATGTTTATTGGAAATTTATCGAATAGAAAATGGTATACATGGGTTTTTTTGTGGTTGGACTGCAATAGCTACACGAGCATTTTTACTTAATGCAATATCTCTTTTTGTTTGGGATCGTACTCGACGTTGGTTTTGATATTGAAAAGAAAAACTTGAAAAAAAACTCTTTAATTCTCTTTATTTTATGACAAAAATAAAAATAAATAGTTATTAGTTTTTTTTTCTATATTGTTCATACAATTAAATTTAACTTCATGCCATTGTTGATAACATTGTAGACGTCTTTGTTAATCTTATGTTATGTTTTCGATTTGGTTTTTGAAGATGATGATGATGATGCCTATAACGGCGATCTTTTCGATGCGTCCAGATTTCTGGAAATGCATATATACTTAAAAATGATGAAAAGCAACACGGAACATATGTAAATGCATCAGCTATTTGTATACACCATGGTAAATTGATCGATGGCCAAAAATTATATAAAGAATTTAAATTTGTTAAAACATATGGTACAAGACCAATTAAATAAATTGATGAAAATAATATCATTTGACGTGTTAAACGTTTACAACGGCGCCATTTTTTTGATGGAAAACGAAATATTCTAAGACGTAAACGTATTATACGTATTAATAAAAAAAATGTCACTACTATAGTAACAAATAATGGTAAAATTAAGCTTAAAATCGTATCAATTAGAAAAATAAATTTTTCATTTTCAAAACATGGACGACATCGAAATGTTTCACGTAATGTTTTATCAAATGTACATGTTGCTGCTAATATTGAATACCATGCTAATGGGAGACCTAATGCAAGAATACTTGGTATTAATTTATATTTAAATGTTGATTGAAGTTTCTTAATATGTATTGGACCAAATATAAGTATATGACGTTGTATTGATGCCCAACATACTAAAAGACCAAGACAAACATTTGATGCATAATCAACAATTAACCATAATTTACATATTGATGGTGATAATGGAAAATAGGAATTAAAATATAATTCAATTAAAAAGAACGGCACACATATACATGTTGTTAATAAACTAACATGAAGTATTGTACGAAAAACAAAAACACTTAATTTAGTATTAGCATGAAGTCGATATATAGCAAATAGATTAATAAATACACTTGGAATACTCATACATATTGTCACAATAAAAAGAATAATATTCATAGTAGGTTTTGAATTTTGATCAAGAATTTTTAAAGTTTCGTTGAATGATGATAGTATCAGCTCTGTTAAATTGTCAACACACATCAGTAATGTCTCGTTTCTCATTATGACGATTAATGATGTTGCTCATTTTAATCATGGTATATTTCTCTTTCTCTGCTTTTCTATTCTTTTCCTTTGACGGCTGCATGTATTTCCTCTAGAATAGAATACTATTGATATAAATATTATTTTTTTTGGCGTGTCGAGCATCGTCTCACGCCTATTGTTGATTGTCAACAATAAAACTAGTATACGCAATGGTAAATGAAAGATGGAAGACAACAAAATGATCGAAGCTTGACAAGTACATTGAATTTCTTAACGATGAATACTAATAGCACAACAAAGTACATATCTCTTTTAATAATAGAATATCACTAGAAATCACCATTTGTTTGCACAGAATATTTGTAACTATTATTGTGCTTTTTTAAATATTTACTTTCTTGTTGAGTATAAACTGAACAAAAAAAAAGAAGCATTCAAATATCTAGTTAGAAGAATTAATATAATTAGTACATTTAATGATCGATGTAATAATAATACAATAAACTAAGAATAAAATTTCTCTTCTTTTTAAAACTTGTTCTTCAAGGCTTCTCTACGTTTTTCTCAAATCCTTATCCTTTATAATGTCGTATTAAACTACAAATAGAATAAAAAAGTTTTTCTCAAAAGTTTTCTATGTCAAAAAATATTGTGTTCAATTAACGCATACGAACAATAATGCCTCCTAATGAAATAACAACAAATCAAAAAGAAAAAAAAAAGAAAACATTGCCAATTTGATGATGCTTTTGTTTCAGAATTTGACGAAATTTAATATAAGCTTACTCTAGCATCTTGTGTATCGGTTATTTTAAGCTAATTAGCTCTTTGCAATTGATAGAATCGAAACATTCACGAAAAAAAAGCCGAGTTATAATAACAGATAGGTCCATTTAGAAATAATTAATGCTTACTTACCAAATTGTTAGTATACAATGTTTTTTTTTTAGTATCAGTCTAAAAAATTTGTAGTTGATTTTATGAAAGATATGTTAATATAAATTAAATCAAAATCGCTCCTTTATCTATTTATATATGTATATAGATACTGTACTTCAAAAATAATGAGATTTACAAAGAAAAAAGAATAATGAAAAATATGAAAAACCTAACAACTCTCTTTCTTTTTATATTGTAAGTGCTTTTCAACATAGAATTAATGAAAAAAACTTTTTTGAAAAAGACATTATAATGAAAACACTTTACGATTCATAGAATATTGTTAAAAATAAACACTTGTAGTAGTCGTTCTTAGTAGAAATATTCTTTTCTTTTAATTAATGTCATTAGAAAAATAAAAAATAAAAGCCGATTTCATATAAGTTTTACTAAGACAGATCTTCAAATACTGTCTGAAAAATTTATTTAGAATGTAAAAAAAGTACGTCATATCGAAAACACTCATCTTTTTTTTTCTTCTTTCCATAGTGATTATATTTCAGTAGAATTTTTTTTTTTTCTTATCTTTCAATATTCGTGTTCTATTTTATGAACAAAACAAATAAATAATGAATAATTAAGTCAATGCTATTCTTTTTATATTCACTGAGATAGATATGATGAAGGTTGACTTTTGACTATAAAATTAGTTTTTTCTTTGATAACCATAGTATCGAAAAATTATTATGCTAATAATTTTCGAATTTTATTCATTTTGACTTTGAAAGTATGTTAATGGCGATGTTCACTGCTTTTATGTTACAAAGTTTTCTAATACAATATTAAAGTAAAAAGCAAAAATTTTCAGCAAGAATATTTAATCAAGTAAAAGAGTAAGAACAAAAAACGCACATCGCATATAAAATTAACTTGACAAGAAAACTAAAAAAAACTAAGAAAAATATTAGATTTTTCTATCAAATAAAAAGAACTTTTTTTCGTCGAGTCTTTTCCGACAAAAAATAATCGATGAATAGATTTGAATGATACACTTGAATAGAAGTTTTTCTATTGAGTTATAATATTGAAAAATAAAATATTTTCCACAATTTTAAATATAATTTTCAATATTATATCAACGATAAGATTAATAATAGCAAATTTATAAATTATAAAACAAAATAGTTTTCATTTCAAATTCTGATTTCTATATTCTAACTGAGAGATATTATCTTCTGACAAATTCCAGGCTGATTAGTAAACAAGAAACATGATGAAAACTGAATAAATAATCAAGCAAACTGCTGTGTTCATGTTTTTTAATGTCTTTTGTTCATCGACGATTTTGATCCCCAGTTTTCTTTTTCTCAGTTACTAATTATATTAGCATGGATGACGGAAAAAAATTATTTAACAAATATTGGAAAACAATTTATGATTCGAAAACAATAAAAATCATCTAATAATAAATCTGATCTGTTAATATAACAAAAAAAATCGACAAATAAAAAGTGAACAATATCAAAATGTACATTTTTCAATATATTTATGTGACAAAAATAAACCAGGCGATATTACTGACCTGATATTAGAAACCACTTCCGCATTCATGTTTTCTTTCTATATGATGATAAACAATACTTTATAGAAATATGATAAGTTGATAAATGAACCTCATTAATGAAAGAAATTCACAAAATAAAGAAAAAAAAAAGTATAGCTTAAGGACAAAAACATGGTTTATATACAATATTCACTTGTGGCCTACTAATTTTTGTTATACAAGATTACCAAAACATATGGTCATATTACTGAATTTTGAAAATCTTAAAAATATCGCGGCATACAATGTAGAACAGTATAAGCCACTAGTTTTTCGTTCCGAAAATGACATGGAAAAAGTTCTTTGCCTTATAGAGTCTATTAACTATGAAAACTTCGAAATCATTTTTATGCTTACTAATCGTATCTTATTTCTATCATTTCAAACAATGTAGATGATACGAATATAAATTTTTCATAACCACAAATTATTATCAGCAACATGAGTCAGTTCCAATTTAATTAATATATCAAAGCGAAAGAAATTCATTTTTTACCATATTAGTGTTTGTAATTTTTGTTTTAATAAAAAGTATTCGATTCTTCTAGAATCTTACATAGTTGACTTCTTTTATTCGTATTAAAAAATTTTTCTATTGTTGAATTTCAGTTTTGGGTCAATCTTTCAATGTAAACAGATGAACAATTTTGATTTTATCAAAAACTCAAGAAATTTTTAAAATTTCGTTTTTATTTTTCAATTCATGCTATTAACATATTAAAACTAACACGTTAAGATATCTATGAGCAAAAGAGATAACAAGATCAATGTGTATCATCTTATAATACGTGTGTCTTTGCATGTAGAATATCAATCATCTATGGATAATCGAGATCATCAATCATCATTTTTAACATAAATATGAAAAAATGGGAGGGATATAAACATAGAATTAAAATAAAGAATTTGCTTGTTTTACATGCCATAAAATTACTTTTTCTTTTTTTGTATATTTGATGAATGGTGTTCAATATAAGTGTGCATTAACCTTGTCGCTTTGTTCAATGTCTGCTCTATATGATACACATATACATATATCTATGAGAAAGGGTTGTCGTTTACACGTACTCAGTCTCGATTATACTTATCGATAGCAAACGATAGTTTTTTTTTTCTTTTTCAACAATTTTGAAATGTGTGTGTCGAAGCGTGACCAACTAGTAAGATGAGAATTCATTGGTCGGATATCTAGATAAAAAAAAATTCTTCTCTTGGTTAATTTATTTTTATGTGACATTTTAATGGTTCAAATTGTTTGAAATTCTAGTGAATTTATCGGCTATATTTATCAAGAATAAAAATTTAAAAAAGAGACAAATGGTTTCACGTTTTACTGATCTTGAACGTAAGACATTACTTGTACAATTTATTGCTGTTGAACCATTAACATTTTATTCAACATCAGATGGTACTGATCTTATTCAAGATATTTTACGATCACATTTAGCACGATCAGATGCAGATATATTTGGACAAGAAGGTTCATTATCAATTGATGACCTAGGAGAATTTCTTACATTTGAACCAATAGATACAAAAAATCGTACATTACATTTACCAATAGAACATTTAGCTTATTGTGGTGCTTTAAGACGTATGCGTCGTGAATTTTTCGATCCACGTGAATCAGATCAAATTCATCGACGAGAATTTGAAAATGTTGATTTAGCTAATCGTTTTGCACAATATATTATTGGTCCATCAATATTTGCTACTGTTTTTCATGGTTTTGATAATGCATTGTGTTATATATTTGTTACACAAAGTGCTGATGACGCTTGTCTTTTAGTTATGAAACTTATGCGTGCTTTTAAATTACATGAACAACTATTAGAACAACAAGGACAAATAAATCAAGGTTATCCTTCATTTCCTTCATTTTGTAGTGGTGGTAAATCACCTTTACCAGTTGAAATCAAACGACAGAGTCCTTTACTTCAACCATCGCAAGGATTTTTGACTGATAATAGACAAACATTATCATCTCCTTTCGTTCATCGAGCACCAAGTACAACATTAAATTCATATGCTCAAGATTCACGACAAGATGAAATAATTCAACGACTTCTTGCAAATCCAAATTTAGAACTTGTTAATCAACCATCACCATTCGTTTCTCAACGTATTGATGATATACCAATTATATCTGCACCATTACCTACAGTAAGTCATTCATGATATAATTTTTGTTTTTAATTTCATTTTATTAAACTAAAACAAAAGAACTATCATACATAAGAAATAATATGCTGTATATGTCATATTCTATAGGTCTATTAGTTTTTCATGAACTTATTACTGTCAGTTTACCAGTATGTACGCATGATGTTTGTGAATATCTATATTTTGTATGAGAATTTTATTTTACGATATACTTTTTTTGTTCCTTTAAAATAGTGGGATACTACTTTTTATATTTGTACTAATT